ATCCCTGACTAGCTATAGCTAACTGCGCTGGCCTGTGTGGCCGAATCGGCCAGCTCGCATCAATTTTGGCACTCCTGTATGCGCGCATGCACGGGTCATTGAGCCCGAAATAATCAATGATCGAGCTGCCAGTGCCACCTCTGCACGCATAAAGCTGAGTAGAGACCAAAGTGAGACCAGCGAAACTACAGGAACCTGAAGCCTCCACTTCGTCAGGTGACATATTCCAGTCTCCTCCAACAATGCACGGGCCCTCGACGCTCTCAACTACTGCACCTGCTGCTGCCAACAGTTTGGCATTCTTGCCCTGGGGGCCTAAACTAGGATACAGGTACATACTCACCATATGGAGTGTGGGCCAACCTGGCAGGTCGAGCTGCACACGTTGCACGCGATTCTCGCACACTTGATGCAATCCTAGATGCGGCGCTCGCACGCCACACTCGCTGCACACAAAGACCGCAACACCAGCACTGGGCACATTACCTGCAGATGGGCACGAGGGCAACGCCATGATACTCCATCCTCGCACATGCGCCCAGCTCTGGATCGATTCCATCTGGTCAGCAACATGTCCAAGTTCTTGCACAATAACAACTAACGCACGAGTTGCCTTGAGACGTTTTTTGAGCGCGTTCTTGCCTCCGCTGTAATTAAAACTCTCAATGGCATGCTCACTGAGGTGCTTCTCAGGCTCAGGTTGAGATGGAGGGGACGAATCTGACATGAAACCTGTAACAAGAGGCAAAAGAAAACCGTTGGCATCAACCTCTCTGGGCATAGGAGGCAAGCTCCGAGGCCTGGACACGCAGCCAATGGCGCATTGCCCTCAGTAGCCGGACTGACAGGGGAGGTGCTGCTCGCACTCTCTCACCCTTGCCGCCAGGAGGTCGCGCAGCACCTTCATCAGCCTCACCTTTTGTCTTCGATGATTGAAGGGAGCGTTGGCTTGCCACTACCCCCTTCCGACATACTTCACACATCATGTGCTCCGAGGCCATCATCATATGGAATGCCGCGCCATCGTCGCGGTGTATGGCTCCTCCAGCTTGGCTGGGAAGTCCTCAAAACTGGATCACGTAGACACACATCATGTGCTCCGAGGTCATCGTCAAACGGAATACCGCGCCCTCTTCGTGGTGTAGAGCTCCAGATTGGCTGTGAAGTCTTCGAAACTGGAGCACGTAGTCCAAATTGAACGTCGCTCATCTTCGGACAGCTCGCTGATCTCATTGTATTGCTTGTTTCTCCCTACCTCTGCCGGTCCACCTGAGGTACCACCACCAGTGAGGCACTTTGACTCTCGGCGACCTGCATCGTCACCATCATCATCTGCAGCAGCACCCATGCCCACGTCAGGTGTGTCCTCCTTGGGCAGCACGCGGACGTGCTCCTGCAATTTCGTCCACAGCTCACTGTAGAGGAATGCCTCTGCCTCTGGGTTGTTCTTCTGGAAACCGCTGAGGCCATGGAGCAAGACAGACCGTGGGACTGCATCACTTTGATCACCTCCTTCGGCTTTGGGCGACACCAGCGACGCCGTCCTGTCAAACTCAGCCTGCAGGACGACCAGCTGCTCCTTCTTCGAAGCCAGGGACTGCACACGCTCCTCGATCGACACACGCAGCTTCTCGAACTGTTCCCGCTTGTCGGCCAAATCCTACGACATCTGCTCAATCGCCATCTTCGCTTTGCTGAAATCCTGAGCGGCACGGCGATGTGCTGTCTGAGGAGGCCGCATCTGCTTGTGCTGTGTACGCAAATCAACGAGTTTCTTCTCCATTGAGTCCCGAATACCTTTGAACTCATCATTTGTGGAGATCGTATTGGTTGAGGTCTCCAGCTCCTGAATCTGGACTGCAACTTTAGCTCGCCGCCCTTCGTCAGTATGTGGTTCGACCTCCACCTTCTTGTTAGCTTTCTGGTTTGCCTCCAACGGCTCAGAACTTTGATTGGTACTGGTAATCTTCGAATGCGATGCCATGAGGGTGTCATGCTTCTTCTCAAACGCACTAAGCTTGTCTCCCTTGCCACCACCTTTGGCCTGCTTGTCACGACCCTTTGCCACGTGCTGCTTTGCCACCATCATTCTCATACTTCTGCATGGCAACTTTGTGGGCCGTGATTGCTCTCGCTCGGATGTGTGCGGGGGCTGACCTTCCGCACTCACACTTGATCCTCGACGCCCAGTTATGCAAACGTGTGCACCAATCGCACGCCCATTCTGGTTTACGTGGGCCAAGCAAGACGTCCCATTCCTTGTCATCAAGGGCTGGGGCCATTCGCTGACCCGTTGGCGCAAAATCGTGAAAGCACTGCTCCTCCAGGAGCTCACTGGAAACTGGCCGAGGCAGCCAGGCCTCAGGAAGGGGCTGCCCTTCCACCTCGGCCTCGAACCTCTGGAGTCGGGACGGGAGGTAAGCTCCGTCTTGAGCCACAATGGCTACGGGGAGGCGGAGGAGGAGGAGGAGGAGGAGGAGGAGGATGAGGAGGACGAGGAGAAGGAGGCGGAGGAGGAGGAGGAGGAGGACGAGGAGAAGGAGCAGGAGGAGGAGGACGAGGAGGAGGAGGAGGAGAAAGAGGAGGAGGAGGAACAGGAGGAGGAGGAGGAGGAGAGAAGAGGAGGAGGGGAGGAGAAGGAGGCGGAGGAGGAGGAAGGAGGAAGAGGAGGAGGAGGAGGAATAGGAGGAGGAGGAGGAGGAGGAGGAGGCGGAGGAGGAGGAGCAGGAACGCGAACAGGAAGAGGAGGAAGAGCAGGAAGATCCGGTGGAGGAGGAGGAGGAGGAGACGGAGGAGGAGGAGGAGGAGGAGGAGGCGGAGGAGGATGAGGAGGAGGAGGAGGAGGATGGGGAGGAGGAGGAGGAACACGAACAGGAGGAGGACGCGGAGTTGGTGGAGGATCAGGAGGATGCTGATGATGATGATGATGATGATGATGATGATGATGATGATGATGATGATGATGATGATGATGATGATGATGATGATGAGGAGGAGGAGGAGGAGGAGGAGGAGGAGGAGGAGGAGGAGGTAAAGGTGAAAGTAAGGGTCGTTGGGGGACCTGAGAGCCGGCCCCCGGGAGTGATATGAAAGGTGCCCCCCAGATCCGCACGTTGTCGGCCCGAGAGACTGCCTGGGGCGGGCTCCAAGCGCTGCTGCAGCTGTGCTGCAGGCAGCGCTGAGGGGCTGGCCCGCTGCAGGGGCTGAGCGTTTCTGACCCTTCGACTTCGGCTTCTCCGTGCCTTCGGGCTCCTCGGCGGACTCTCCGGGGACTGTCCTGGGACCCCCCCGAGCCTTCCGAAGAGGGACGACGGGACTGCCCGGGGACAACGGCAAAGACGACGAGGGGAGGGAGAGCGAGGACGTCGAGCGTCTCTGGCCGTTCGTGGGCCTCCCAGGGAGCCCTCCTCGCCACGGACGGGCTCCCCTCGGGGTCAAGGTCGGATTCGCTCCTGGAGGGGCTCGGGGGCCAGGCAACACGTTTTCTCCCAACCATCCTGTGGTGCTGGGTCCTCGCTTCGATGAGACAGCGCCCCGCATCCCTCCTCCTCCTCTTCCTCCTCCTCCTCCTCCTCCTCCTCCTCTCCTCCTCCTCCTGCTCCACCATCCTTCCCCCCCCCATTTCGACACACCACTCATACGTTTTGTGGCCCCATGGGGAGCTCCACCGAGGGCCCCAGAGGCTGCGTTTGCATGCGGTTCCACCGCAATTTCGGCACACTCCTCACACGCTTCGTGGCCCCATAGGGGGCTCCACCGAAGGCCCCAGAGGCTGCGTTCGCATGCGGTTCCACCCCCATTCTGGCACACTCCTCACACGTTTTGTGGCCCCATGGGGAGCTCCACCGAAGGCTCCAGTGACTGTGTTCGCATGCGGCTTCACCGCCATTTCGGCACACTCCTCAAGCGTTTCGTGGCCACAAGGGAATTTCACCGAGGGCCCCAGACGCTGCGTGCCCATGCGGTTCCACTTCCATTTCGGCTCACCCCTCACACGCTTTGTGGCCCCATAGGGAGCTCCACCGAGGGCCCCAGAGGCTGCGTTCGCATGCGGTTCCACCGCCATGTCGGCATACCCCTCAAACGTTTCGTGGCCCCGCAGGGAGCTCCACCGAAGGCTCCAGTGGCTGTGTTCGCATGCGGTTCCACCCCGATTTCGGCACACCCCTCACACGCTTCATGTACCTGTAGGGAGTTCCACCGTAAGCTCCAGTGGATGCGTTCGCACGTGGTTCCACGGCCATTTCGGCGCACCCCTCACACGCTTCGTGGCCCCATCGGGAGCTCCACCGAAGGCCCCAGCGGCTGCGTTCGCATGCGGCTAGGGAGCTCCACCGAAGGAAAGGTTTCCAACTGCGGAATTCACAGCTGCATATGGTTGCGTCCTTCGCCGGGATAGTTCCCAACCATCCTGTGGTGTTGGGTCCTCGTTTTGAGGAGAAAGCGCCTCATGTTCCTTCTCCCGCTGCCCCCCCTCACACGTTTCGCCCCATAGGGAACTCCACCCAAGGCGTGGCTGCGTTCGCATGCGGCCACCGCACCCGTTCGGCACACCCCTCACACGCATCGTGGCCCCATGGGGAGCCCCACCGAAGGCCCAAATGCCAGCGTTCGCATGCGGCCACCGCGCCTATTTTTGGCACATCCCTCACACATTTCGGGGCCCCATAGGGAGCCCCACCGAAGGCCCAAATGCCAGCGCTCGCATGCTGCAGGCGTCAGTGAGTGTACGGCCCCTCCCGAGGCGGCCAGAGTGTAAGCCAGGGCCCAAGGAGGCCCTGGCGCGAGCGTCAGGCCCGAGGAGGCCCTAGTGCATGATTTGGGCCATAAGAGGCCCCCTGTGCAAGGCCCGTGCAGGGCTGGACTGAGAGGAGCGGGGGATCCCCGCCGAAGCTGTTATGGCTCGAGGATGATCCATCGGGTGAGATCATCATCTCTGCCTGGTGACAGATTGTGAGGTTGCTTGAACCTACCCTTCAGGCCAGTGGCGCCAGCGCGCCATGGCGGCCGACAACGGAGCAGCTGGGGTGCAGTTGCTGGATTCTCGTGGAATCGGCAAGGTGCCGACATTCTCAGGCAAGAGGGAGGACTTCGAGGATTGGATCTTCCCGTTTGAGTCCTACTGCGGCCTGCTGGGCTGGACGGCGGGCGTGGAGAGATCCAGAGAAGCTGAGGAGCCGCTGACTGCGGAAGACCTCGGCGAGCAAGGAGTGCTGGTAGGCAGGAGTTTGTACCACCTGCTGGCGAGCACAACGAAGGGCACGGCGCAGAGCATCGTCAAGCTCTGCCCGCGAGGCGACGGCTTCGAGGCAATGCGGAGGCTGTACAAGGAGTACAGGCCAAGGCTGAATGAGGAGCACGGCCAGATGCTCCAGCACATCCTGACGCCGACGTGGTGGAAGGATCGCGAGGGTAAGGAGCGCTTCACAGAGGTGCTGATCGCTTGGGACGAGTTGATCTCGAGGTATGAGCGCGCGACTGGAGAGCAGGTCACGCAGAACATGAAGACGAGCACGATCATGGCCCACGCACCCGAGGAAGTGAAGGTCATGCTACGCTCGGCGCAGCGCGAGGTGCGCAGCGACATCACGCAGATGAGGAACTGCATCTTCGAGGCGGTGGTCGGCCAGAGCGGAGTGGTCTCGAGGCCGCCGACAGCGAACAAGGGGAGCAACGACATGGACGTCGACGCGATCTCCAAGGGCAAGGGCAAGGACGGCAAGGACAAGTGCCAGATCTGCCGCAAGCCTAGCCACGCGGCCCGCAACTGCTTCTGGCGTGACAAGGGTAAGCAGAAGGGCGACGGAAAAGGTCGAGGAGCAGGCGCGGGGCCCAAGGAAGGAAAGGACGCCAAAGGCAAAGGCAAGGACAGCTACACCTTCACGGGGAAATGCGACTATTGCCACAAGACGGGCCACAAGAAGGCAGACTGCAAGAAGCGGATCGCCGATGAGAGGGCCAAAGGAAATGCGGCCATCGAGCAGGAGAGCACGGACCCGAAGACGGTGGCCAAGATCGAGTACGCGGAGTACGAGTGCGAGATCTGCGACGACGACCAGCTCTACTGCATGGCGATGGAGGTGGAGGATCCCGAGACGGAGTGCTGCGGCATGGAGCTCGAGGGGGCGACCTTCATCACGCTGGACACGGCGAGCGACTGCCACGCGGGGCCGACTTGCTTCGGAGAAGGATGCAGGAAGGGCGAGGGTCGCGGACCAAGGCTGCTGGATGCGCAGCGGAAGGAGATCAAGATGGGCTCCATTGCGACGGTGCCGATGGCGGTTGCTGACGACGGCGAGCAGCTGAAGCTGCTGATGGCGGACTTCAGGCTGGGTGACACGGTATCGAAGCCGATCCTCTCGTTGCTGGAGGTGATGGACAAGGGTGCCGAGTTCTGGCTGAGAGCGAAGACGGGCATGTGCATGTACCCTGGCGGTGACCTCAGCAAGGGCACCCCGCTCACCAGGAAGAACAACACGCTGGGATTCAACGCAAAGACCTTCAAGGCAGCTACGGAGGCGAAGGAGTTCGCGGCCAGCGTGAACGCGAATGAGCAGCAGGAGGAGGCGTTCGTGCCGACACCTGGGGCTGCGGGCAGCGGAGCAGCGACAGCGGCGCCGGCTGCACCTGCGGCTGCTGCCTCGGATCCAGCGCGAGGTGGATCAGCTGAGGGCGCAGGAGGGGAGCGACTGGCTCGACATCCTGTGCTACTGCGTGAAGGGCAGGAGATCGTCCTGCACCCTTCCCGCCGCGTGGAGGACATGCGGGCGAGGCTCAAGGAGATGGGCCAGCCGATCTACGGCAGGAATTAGGAAGGACGAGCTGTGGGCTAGGCTCAGCGACGCGGAGCGGAGGCTCACGGCGCACAGCGCGAAGATGAAGGAGCTGGAGCGCAGGCGCGAGGAGTCCGTTCAGGGAGGACCCACGATAGCACCACGAGAAGTAGCAGGGCCAGCAGCGCCCACGGATGCAGAACGAGCAGCTCATGAACTGCTTCACCTCAAGAGGGCGCCGTGGCGCGAAGCCTGCGCGCGGGGGAACGAGACGACCAAGCCGCACAAGACCCTCACATTCGATCAAAAGGACACAGGGAAAGCGCAGATCGCCCTGGACTTGTGCTACCTGAAGACCAACGGCGACTGGGCGGAGATCGGAGATGTGGAGCCGCCAGCAGCGGACATCTTCGCGACGACTCTCGTGATGGCAGACAGGGGCACGCTGATGTTCAACGCAGTTTCGATGCCCACCAAGGCGGTCACGGACTACGCAATAGCCAGCGTGAGCAGCTTCATCGAGGGCATGCATCTCACGACGGCGGACCTCAAGACGGACGGCGAGCCCACGATCGTAAACTTGGTGGAGGAGGTGCGGAAGAGGCTGAACAAGAGCATCAATCTGGAGGAGAAGCGTGGGAACCTGAAGGACAGCCAGAGCATGGGCGCGATCGAGGCTCCGATCAGATGGTTTCAGGCGAAGGTGAGGACGTACAAATTCGACCTGGAGAAGCGCTATGGCATGAAGATCACAGCGGACGCACCGATCTGGTGCTGGCTTACACGATACGTTCGCTGGGCTACCTCTACGCACAGACTACGAGCCGATGGGAGGACATCCCATCAGGCAGCCTACGGAGTGACCTACAACGGAGAGATTCCCCCCTTTTGCGAGACGGCTCTCTTCAAGACCCCGATCTCCCACACGAGGCAGATCACGACCACGTCTCTGAAGCGCAAGGGCGAGTCGAGTTTCGTGAAGGGCATCTGGGTCGGGAAGCACAAGTAGAGTGACGACCACTTGTTCCTGGCGCCAGCGGGCTGGCACCGCGCGAGAACACGCGGGCGGCTGGAGCCAGCGTTGCGAGCAGATGACAAGCTAATGAAGGCGGTGAAGGCCCTTCCCTGGGACGCGAGGAGCGCTAAGCCGTGCGAGCTACTGCCCAGGATTCAGAGGCCGATGCCCACGATCGTTCTGACGGCGGCGGAGCAGAAGGCGCAGACCGAGGCGCAGGAGGCAGCACGCGAGGCGGCGCCACCCCGGGGGGCGCCCGAGCAGGGGGCGCGGCCGGCTGCAGCAGCGAGCGCGGAGCCATCGTCGGCACCCGCGGGGCCTGGAGCTGGAGCAGCAGCGGCAGCGAGACCAGAGGAGAAGAGCACGACGGATGCGGACGCGCCGATGACACCTCGAGGGCTGATCAGACCTGCCGATGCTGAGGACTTCGGTGCACCATGCAAGCGCGCGAAGCACGTGGACGCCATCTCGCTCGACGACCCTATCGACTACAGCATCCTGGACATGATGGGCACAGACTGCTACATGACGGTCAGCGGACTGGAGCCCGCGGTGGAACTCAAAGGCAAGCGCGAAGCACTAGAGGTGCTGGCGCACTACGGGGTGCACAGGGACGTCCCGAGGAGCGAGAGCGGCGAGTTCAAGAGAATCAGGGCGCGCTGGGAGCCGCAGATGCGAGGAGGTATCTGCAAGTGGCGATATGTGGCGCAGGAGTTCAAGTGGATGGAACAGCGGGACGACGTGTTCGCAGCGAGCTCATCAGCACAGACGAGCAGGCTGGTGGATTTCGTCAGCATCAAGGAGGAGAACCACGGGACCTTCATCGCAGACTGCGTGAAGGCGTACTACCAGGCGGACCAGACGGAGAAGGTTTGTGTGGAGCCACCTGCTGAGTATCTGGCGATCTTGGCGGAGATGGGCAAGCCGACCGATATCGTTTGGGCGCTAGACAAGATGCTACCTGGGCAGCGCGTGGCAGGCGCTGGCTGGGTAGACAAGGCGGCGAAGACCCTGAAGGGGGAGGGCTTTGACAGGAGTGAGTGTCAGCCGCAGTTTTACTACCACAGGGAGAAGAAGATCCTGATCGAGGTGCACATGGACGACTTCCACGGAGAGGGTCCAATCGGCAACCTGGACGGGGTCATCAAACGGTTGAGGGAGGTGTCCGACCTGAAAGCGACGGACGTCATCAGGCAGGGACGCTACTCACACTTGAAGCGTGACAGGCTGAGGCTCATGAACGGCAACATCATGCTGAGGCCGAACGTGAAGCATATTGACGACTTGATCTACGTGATGGGCATGGAGAAGGCCAAGCCAGCCAATGTGCCAAGCTTGACTGAGGAGGACCCGACATGGAGCCCTGAATTGGACGAGATCGAGAGGGCGAAGTTTCGCACAGGGGTTGGGATCGTGCTCTACATCTCGCCCGACAGAGCGGACATCCAGCGGGGCGTGCAGCTGCTGACCAGGAACCTGAGTCAGCCGACGGAGTTTGACAGGAAGCGACTGGTGAAGCTGGTGAGGTACCTGAAGGGGACAAAGACGTTCGGAGTGCTTTTGGAGAAGCCAACTGGGAGCAAGCCTGGAGAAGTGAAGCTGCAGTTGTTCACAGACACGGACTTTGCGACGTGCAAGGAGACGAGGCGTGCGATGACCTGTGGGATCACAAAGCTGGGCGGAGTGCACTTCGCAGCGTTTGCGAGGAGGCAGGGAGTTCAGAGCACATCCTCAGGCGAGGCGGAGTTCTACGGCGCGACCTCGGTGGTGATGGACGGCAAGCTAGTGAAGAACATGCTGGAGTGGTTGGGCTACAAGGTGACCTGGGAGCTCGGGATCGACAGCAGCGCCGCGAAGGCGATGATCAACCGCGAGGGCGTCGGCAAGGTGAAGCACCTGGACGTTCGGGCGCTGTGGATCCAGCAGGAGCGGAAGGTCCACGGACTGAACATCAAGAGGGAGAGTGGAAGCAAGAACGTGGCCGACCTAGGGACCAAAGCGCACGCCACGGAGCGGTTCGCGTACCTGCGAGAGCTTGCTGGCATCATCGACTGCAGCGAGATGGACAAGCACACGGAGCTGGAGGCATGCTCGGTGACAGCGAGCGCCTGGGCTAAGCAAGGGTTAGTGGCGACACTGCTCGCGCAAGGAGCGAGATCTCGACCGGAGTGCAGTTACCCCCTGGGAGGTTACTAAGCTGCAGGACTGGATCGATGACCATACGACACTGATCATCCTGAGCGCGATGATGATGACATTCGTGGCAGGTGCACTGCTCGGGTGTTGGATCTGCAAGAAGTGGACGACGATGAGCAGCGCCACGAAGCTAAATCTGGCCAAGCACACGAACACGCCGAAGCAGAGCAAGGAGCTGAGCAACAAGGTAAGGTTCACGGACAGGCCGACGACGGAGGAGAAGGCGAGTCAATCGCCGTGCACGTACAAGTGGAAACACACGACGCCGAGGTTCATGGTGCTGCCCGAGGCGAGCCACGGGTGAGAACGAGCTTGCGGCCAATGGCAAGGTGAACGAGGTGATGTGCCTCGACGAGGCGCCGTGGGGGCGTGCAGGCGTCAGTGAGTGTACGGCCCCTCCCGAGGCGGCCAGAGTGTAGGCCAGGGCCCAAGGAGGCCCTGGCGCGAGCGTCAGGCCCGAGGAGGCCCTAGTGCATGATTTGGGCCCTAAGAGGCCCCCTGTGCAAGGCCCGTGCAGGGCTGGACTGAGAGGAGCGGGGGTCCCCGCCGAAGCTGTTATGGCTCGAGGATGATCCATCGAGTGAGATCATCATCTCTGCATGGTGACAGATTGTGAGGCTGCCTGGACCTACCCTTCAGGCCAGTGGCGCCAGCGCGCCATGGCGGCCGACAACGGAGCAGCCGGGGTGCAGTTGCTGGATTCTCGTGGAATCGGCAAGGTGCCGACATTCTCAGGCAAGAGGGAGGACTTCGAGGATTGGATCTTCCCGTTTGAGTCCTACTGCGGCCTGCTGGGCTGGACGGCGGGCGTGGAGAGATCAAGAGAAGCTGAGGAGCCGCTGACTGCGGAAGACCTCGGCGAGCAAGGAGTGCTGGTAGGCAGGAGTTTGCACCGCCTGCTGGCGAGCACCACGAAGGGCACGGCGCAGAGCATCGTCAAGCTCTGCCCGCGAGGCGACGGCTTCGAGGCAATGCGGAGGCTGTACAAGGAGTACAGGCCACGGCTGAATGAGGAGCACGGCCAGATGCTCCAGCAGATCCTGACGCCGACGTGGTGGGAGGATCGCGAGGGTAAGGGGCGCTTCGCAGAGGTGCTGATCGCTTGGGACGAGTTGATCTCGAGGTATGAGCGCGCGACTGGATCGATGACCATACGACACTGATCATCCTGAGCGTGATGATGATGACATTCGTGGCAGGTGCACTGCTCGGGTGTTGGATCTGCAAGAAGTGGACGACGATGAGCAGCGCCACGAAGCTAAATCTGGTCAAGCATACGAACACGCCGAAGCAGAGCGAGGAGCTGAGCAACAAGGTAAGGTTCACGGACAGGCCGACGACGGAGGAGAAGGCGAGTCAATCGCCGTGCACGTACAAGTGGAAGCACACGACGCCGAGGTTCATGGTGCTGCCCGAGGCGAGCCACGGGTGAGAACGAGCTTGCGGCCAATGGCAAGGTGAACGAGGCGATGTGCCTCGACGAGGCGCCGTGGGGGCGCGCAGGCGTCAGTGAGTGTGCGGCCCCTCCCGAGGCGGCCAGAGTGTAGGCCAGGGCCCAAGGAGGCCCTGGCGCGAGCGTCAGGCCCGAGGAGGCCCTAGTGCATGATTTGGGCCCTAAGAGGCCCCCTGCGCAAGGCCCGTGCAGGGCTGGACTGAGAGGAGCGGGGGATCCCCGCCGAAGCTGTTATGGCTCGACGATGATCCATCGAGTGAGATCATCATCTCTGCACATGCGGCCACCGCACCCACTTTGGCACGCTCCTCACACGCTTCTTGGCTCCATAGGGAGCCCCACCGAAGGCCCAACTGCCAGCGTTCGCGTGCGGCCAGCGCAACCATTTTGGCACACCTCACACGCTTCGCGGCTCCATAGGGAGCCCCACCGAAGGCCCAAATGCCAGCGTTCGCGTGCGGCCACCGCACCCATTGTGGCACGCCCCTCACACGTTGCGTGGCCCCATGGGGAGCCCCACCGAAAGCCCAAATGCCAGCGTTCGCATCGGGCCACCGCACCCACTTTGGCACACCCCTCACACGTTGCCTGGCCCCATAGGGAGCCCCACCGAAAGCCCAAATGCCAGCGTTTGCATGCGGCCACCGCGCCCATTTTGGAACACACCTCACACGTTTCGTGGTCCCGTAGGGGGCTCCACTGGAGGCCCCGTTCCAGCGTTCGCATGCGGCCACCGCGCCAATGTTGTCACACCGCTCACACGTCTCGTGGCCTCATATGGAGCCCCACCGAAGGCCCAAATGCCAACGTTCGCACGCGCGCACCGCGCGCGCACCCCTCACACGCTCAGCGGCCTCATGGGGAGCCCCGCCGAATGCGGTGCATACAACGGCTGCAACTGCATATGGTTGGGTTCTTCGCCAGGCTATGTTTGGGGGCAGAGGCTCTTGTCTGGACCGATGTTTGCCTTGGGGCCCACGCAGTCGTCTGCGGCACGGGGCGCGGCAGCGCAGGCTCGGCGGGAGCGCGCCCGCGGGATATTCCCAGCGCCGTGGGGCACGCTGGCGGGGTGGAGCTGCACCCCGAGCCTCGGGTGGGGGTCTCATCCGCCGAGAAGGAAAGAACTTTCCGACTCCGCAGTCGGCCGCTTGGCCAGTCGGCCACTCAGGGAGTCGGCCAGTCGGCCCGTCGGCCAGTCAGAGTCGGCCAGGGAAGGGGGGGGGGGGAGTCGGATAGCTAATCCCAGTGCCCCCGAAATGTTCCAAATGCACCAGAACGGGCCTCGCGAAAGTTTCCCTGCTGGGGCGCGCCGTCCCCGTGTTGCTTTCGCTTGTTCTTTGATTCCTCCCTCCCCCCCACGGCTGGATGACACAGCGCGCGTGCCAGGCTCCCCATCTCCCCCGACGCTGCATGATATACGTGGCCGCCATCCTTCCCGCAGACTGTTTGGTCACTGTATGGAGGCCCCACCACCAGCGATTTGACAGTATAGTGTGGTATGCTGTGCAACGATGACTTTCCGTACTGGGCCTGAGCGGGGGGGAATGGGTCTGCGAGAGAGCGTGCGATCTTCCAGCCCGCGCGCATTCTTAGCGGGATTATATAACCTAGCTGGCTTCCGGTTTATAGGTAATCAGAGAAATTTTCCCCCCAGGTGCCTCTTCTACTGGATAGCTTTCGGTCCGCAGAAAGCAGTGCTCAATCTGCAGTGTGGGCCGCATTTCGGGATCGGCGTTGTGCCCCCCCGCCGTTCAGAATTTGCGCCCTCGCCCCATCGCGGATCCGATCCGTTCTTGGCCCGTTTCGTCTTCACTTTTCTCCCTCCTCCGCCTTCCCCTGGCTCTCGTGCCCCTCCAGCGGATCCTGCTGCGGTTGCTCCCCCTTCCCCATCTCGTCCTGATCATCCTCTTTCACCACCCGCCAAACCACCCCAACCCAACCCGCAGGCTTCAATTTGCCTTTCATTTCCAGTAGGGTGGGGTGGGGTCGGGGAACATGCAAAAACACATGGATCCCGCATCCCCCTGAAGGCTCAAGGTCGGGTCTTCGGCTCAAGGTCGGGTCTTTGGGCTGGGTTGGGGTGGTCTGGTAGGTATTCAGCTCCTGCTCATCCGCCCGAGGGCCTCCCGAAGGCCTCCCGGGTGGAAGGTTTCTCCGAAGCGCTTAGGCGACCCCTCCTTCCTCCTCCTCCGCCTCCTCCTCCTCCTCCCTCCTCCTCCTCCTCCCTCCTCCTCCTCCGCCTCCTCCTCCTCCTCCCTCCTCCTCCTCCTCCTCCTCCTCCTCCTCCTCCTCCTCCTCCTCCTCCTCCTCCTCCTCCTCCTCCTCCTCCTCGGATCGCCTACGGTCCCGGGGGAAACCGTGCAGCCCGCGGACGCCAGGCCGTGCGCCGCGGCCTGCGGCCGCAGCAGCGCGGCGGCGTGGCTCGGCCAGGCCGAGCCCGCGGTCGCGGCGGGCGCCGCGAGGGCCGCGCAGGAGCCTCGCCTCCCTCCGCGGGCAGCGCGCGCGCGCACTGTCAGAGGAGGAAAAGGTACCCATACCTCTGCCATTTCCTCGTCTTCCTTCTGTTCGGCCTCCTGGGCCGCCCTCGTCGCCACCGCTGGATTCGCCTCGAAATTCTGGTCAGAACGCACCCCGGGAGAGGTCCGGGGAGCAGCGGTGTCGACACCTTTTGGTCTCCCCACGTTGCACGCGAGGGAGAACGCAGCACGGCGGAATGCTAGCATGTGGATATCTAGCTGCTCCGCAGGCGGGCGGGGAGGACGCCTGTGCGCGCGCGCGCGCGTGTGCGTGTGTGTGTGGTTCGGTTTCGGTCTTCCTCCGGTCCTCTCCCTCTCCCTGGTTTGGTCTTCCTCCGGTCCTCTCTCTGGTCTGGCCTCCCTCCGGTCCTCTCCCTGGGTTTGGTGGTGGTTGGTATGCGCTTGATGCTGCTCGCGCGCGCGCTGAGGCAAACTTGTGTCAGCTTGTGTCGCTTGCAGTCGTGGCGTGCAGCCTCGCACACTTTAAGTTTTGTCCCTGGGCCGGCAAGCAGAATAATACATAGACAGCACGTGTGTGATTCCAGTGGTGCTCTCTGGGTTCGTGGGGGCCGGAGTCGCACAAATGACACAACTCTGAAGCCTGTATTTTCAATACTTCTGGGGAGCTACATGCTGTAACATAGTTATGTGAGTAATATATGTCTCTGATTGTAGCTGTGGTGGCTCAGCCTGGTTTAGGCCACAGGCGCTCAAACCGTCGAGTACGGTGCATACTGCAGTAGGTCAGGTCGGGCCTCACCGAACGGGGATGTTGCGACAGTGAAAACAGTCTCTTGGTCGATCCTTGGTTCTGGGTCTCACTTACTCGGATATCTCTCTCATCACTTTACGTGTGGTCAAGTCCTCTGGAGCGGGTCCAAACCCTGGCCTGGTGTACCACTGACTTTGCCTTCGTCCATACATATATACTCATATTCACGTTCCTCCATATTACGTTCTACATTTTGGTATTAATTCAAACACGATGCCACGAGTACCCAGGAAACTAACCTGTCTCTTCTGGTTCGTTGCCTGCTCAGTTATGCTCGGCGTGCAAGGTAGTGCAGTACAGGAACAACATGAACCACATCTCCGAGCCTTCCTCGCCACACGTCGCCCTCTATCTTGTTCAGGTACGAACTCCGAGATCGATGGGGAAATATGTCGGCAATGCGCCAACATTTCTTCTTTAGGTCTCGCGCTGGGGTTTTCATCTTCTCTGCTATTCGGACACAAACCTGATCGCTATTCGAATGAGTTCGTGAAGCTTTGGAGCACCATTCTCTGGCATCTTGTAGTTGAGCGTCCGTCGTCAAGATTTGTCCAGGCGATCGATACCATGCAAGCGGAACTCCTCACCCTGGCAGGCGGCCCTTCAAAGCTACCTCGTCATAGTCTGGAGTTCCTTCTTACGCTCACTATTGCAAAAACCATGTTGCGTGTGCGTGCAAGCATACATCAAGGACGCCGGCAGGTGTGGTGGAGCACACACGCCACGTCGGCCATTCCTCTTGACGTCCAGCAAGCACTCCTTCGTACAGGTGAAGCGTCAGTAGTTCATGTTATCGCACTGGTCCGTTTTCTTCGCCTTCAGGTTGCTGGAGTTTTTGGCTTTTGTCCTCGCGGAGGTGTCCAGCGCCATTTCATTTACCAACTCGGCTACCGGGGTCGATACATAGGGCAAGCACGTCAATACCGCTCTGTGGGGTCAGGTACGGGCCCACTGATGAGGTTTCGAGAGCATCTGCGAGATTGGTTTGGAACTCAACGCCGCGCTGTATGCCCTCAGACACAGAGATACTCCACCCTTCTTCAAAAAGATGGCCCTGGAAAATTTTACATGCTTTTCCTGACCCACACGGAGCCCGATAAGGTCTTTGGCCTTGAGTCTGCATTCATCAACATGTACCACCCTGAGGCGAATGACATCCCGAACCCCCCTGCCCTAGGACGACGACGACGGCGAGAACGGATCCAACCTCGCCGACGACGAAACGGACGATTTGGTAGATCCCAGCAACAAGCACTCGAGCACGCTAGAGATTCAGATGACGTATGGCAGCAACGCACGTTGGAAATTATGTGCACTAAGTATGTTCGTCGACACGCATTTCTCACTCGACGTAGTGCTACGCAAAATGTTCTTCGTGGTACCCTTCATGATGTATATGCACACTATCTCGATAGGCACTTTCAGCTTTCACGCACGTTTGGGCCCATAGATATACATATGGTTGGTGTTTTTCCCTTACTTATTAAACAGCTTGCCGTGAGGGCCCAGGATATCAATTGGGAACGAGCACGTGCATTACGCGCACATTCTGTCGATTTTCTTCATATTGTATGGTCTGCCTGCACACTGCTTCCTCACCACCAAGAGCGCATTCGAGCACGAGCGTATATAGCACACCTGGCGGCACGCGTGGGGAGCCCAGTTCCTCGTCCTACCCATCTTCTTGTGGCCAACCGGTATTGGCGACAGTGTGTACGAAGGTGGATTAGTGAGGTCCTCGCGTTGTACGGCCGAGATCGCCCCCATTGGGTGTCGCTGGTAAGGTCTACGTTGCACTTGGATGTTGCTACTCCCAACCCCTTGAAAAAGCATATCGTTAACACGCAGCGCTATCTCCAAACAGTCAAGGAGGCTGATCTTCTCGAAATAGATCCTGATATCCTGGCAGCGATGGTGGCCGGTGGGGATTTCAGTCGCCTTCCTGTACACGGTCGCACGCCGGTGCAACCGACGCTGAACGAGCAGCGGCGTGGAACACGACAGCGTTGTCTTGGGTGGTTGGCGCAAGCTGGCATTCCAAAGCATTTCATGGACTCCTTACCTTGCTCGATTCCTGCCTCAGGCTGTCACCCTTCCTCTTCAGCTGAAGGATTTGCCACGTGCACTTCGGACATGAATGCGTCGTTCCGGGAGGCTCGCACGAGCGTGGTTGTGTGCGTTGAAGACAAAGACCCTAACACGCTCTGGATCGCGAACCCTCGGCTTCTCGTCTTGAGGTGGTTGTTTCTATTATCTCGCGTCCCTCATAGATGGCGTCTTCGGCTAGTGGGTGTGTCGTATGTGCTACAGTGGTACCGTATGCTATTGGACTTTACTGTGCCAAAACCGCTATTCAAGGGAAAATCCAGGATGAGTGCCAAAAACTTACCATATATTTACCCGACAGTAAAGGCAAAATGTTGGGAAACAAATGGAACTCACCGATGCCCCGACCCCAACCACAGCTGCTTCAGAAACATAGTCTCATTCTGCAAGCTTCCTGGGCGCAAGACATATCGCCAAGTTGGTCGGGGACTCCAGTACGTAGTTAACTACGTCTCTCCAGGATGGAGCCTCCAGGACATGAAGTCGGCCCTCGGTCGTCTACAAGATAGAGTTCGTAACTTGCAGCCGCCTATCTGGTCTGAGTCCCAACAGGCCTACCAGTGCTGCGAGTGCGGTGGTCCCATGTACCACCCCTCCCTTGTCGTTGCTGACGCTGGCCAGGCTTACGAAGATCTGGCCACGGAGTCAATCTATGAAGCGGTGGACAGGGTTTTCCAGCGGATCAGCCTTTTTACCAAGCATAAAACTTTGACTGTAATTGAGCTTGGGCAGGGACATCGAACGGTCTGGGGAGGCAATTTTGAGGTTCCATATTGCGACCGGGTTGTATTCTCCTTCACGTCGATCCGAAGAAGTATTATCGGTTTCCTTGGAATGCGGTTTTATCGTCTCGGGGGCATCTTCGTTGAGCAGACACGGGGCATCCCCATTGGGGCCCCCCTCTCCGGAGGCATTTTGAACGTCGTTCTTAGTGACAAGGAAACGCAGTACGACCACAAGAACCCAAATCGTGCATCCCAAATGGCCTGCGGTCGTTACGTGGATGATCTTGTGTGCTTATCGTATGTGTTGTGTCGGTGCTGTCTGAAGCGGAAATTACCACAGATATATCAGGGCGTCGTTTTCTTTAAGGTGGATGAGGATTTTGGTACGCTCCCCGGTGGCACTATCATCCAAAAGTTCCTCGATGTTGAACTTCACTTTCGTTTCCAAGTTCTTCGTCTAAATCCCGTTCATAAAAACGAGCAATTCGCATGGAGCGGAAACCAAGCACACTTGGTTAAGAAGAGCATACCCCCTTACACACACTCGCAAGATCCTCGCGTACTTCGGGCACATCGGGCCGAACTCCGCGGACGTGTTTGCAGATGGGAGCAGATAGGTGTACCTAATAGCATTCTGACCTATTTGATGCTAACAGACATGATGGTGTATCTACACTTGCACTATCCTTATCGTTTCTTATACAAGCTCTGGATTGGGTTATTTCCGCCCTCACCGCGTAAAGATATGGTATCTCTCTTACTTCGTCTTCTACCCCTCGCTTGTCCAGAACTCATTCGCCCTCGTGTGTGCCATCTTGGCTCTCACCACGATCATTGCGTCGAGGCTCAGAAGTTGGTCGAACGTGCCGCCAGCCCTCAACCAGCCGGTTTCGATCCAGCTCGCACGACCAGCGTCGCGCCTCTCCCAGCGATGGGCGGCAACGGCTACCAACACGGGGGCTGGCAGCAGGGCGGCAGGGGTGGCCGCGGCAAGGGGGGTTGGCAGCCGCGTGCCCCATACCAGCCGTACCAGCCGCCCTCCGGAGGTGGTGGCTTCGGAGGCTTCGCCTCCATCACGAACCAGTTCAACGACATGATGGGGAGCCTGGCGGCGCTGGGCCAGATGGCAAAGATCGGCACGGCGCTCTCCCGCCTCCACCAGGGCGGGTCGCTCCCGCAGAGCGGAGGCCAGCAGCCTCAGCCATCTCAGGCGGCTGCTCCGGCCCCTCAGGTGGGCACGCGCGAGGTGGCCGAGGCCCTCACGGGCATGCTCTCGGACGTGCAGCGCGACGAGCAGCAGCGGAACAGGGAGGGCGACTCACGCTTGACCACAACGATCCGCAGGCTCCAGGACTTCGTCGGACCTGACCCGCGGCAGCCTCGGTGTGCCACCAGCGAGGTGGACAATGTGGAGGCCTCCCCCGCGTTCCAACAGCTGCGCCGTCAAGTGCAGAGCCTCAGCGACACCCAGACGGAGCAACAGCGCACGATCGCGCGCATCGACAACACGACTTCCAACATGAGTTCCGACGTCCAGGCCGTCAGCAACATGATGCGTGAATTTCTCCAAGAGCAGCGTTCGCGTGGAGGTGGACCCGCGCGCCCTCCGGCTGCCGGGGCCGCTGCGGCGCACCCAGGGCCAATCATGAAAGCCACGATTGATGCCGATTTGCACGACCGTGTCCTACCGCACATTGGCGTTACGACCGCCCGTCGCGAGGCGGCGGAGCTGAAAAACGACTGTCCGCTCAACTACGGGGCTTGGTGGAGCCGTGCGGGCAGGCTTAAGTCTGTTGCCCAATGGTCTGAGAAGCTCCAGCGCCTGGGTGCATCGGCGGATATGGTTCGGGACCTCACGATGGAGACGGCTGGCACGATATTGTACCAGCACTTGTCCAGCGACGGCCATGTGATGGAGGATGTGCTCCAGGAGGCGCCGCCCCCGAACTGAGTGGTTTCCGACAGCGGCAGTCCGACTACATCAGCTGACCCACCTAGTGGATCTCGGATCCGTAGCGCCGCTGCCCGCCAGGATGTGTCCCAGGGTACACGTATCCCGTCGTTCCAGTTCTGCTTTCAGGCATGTGTAGTTGTAAGCACGCTGTTCTTCTTTGCCCAGATGTGCTTTGCAATGCATGAGACGCGCCTTGCATTTGGAGATCTTCTGTTTAACCTCTCTCGCACCCTGCCCTCCCTCTTACTTTCGCTCGTGACCACAGGAGTTTGGGGCGTTGCTGCGCGGGCCTTGCAGTGGTTAGTCGTTAGCGGCCCGACCGCCGAAGAGATCCCCGCCTTCGAATTCGAGGGGTTCCAGGAACCGCCGATACCCAAGGCGGGGGAGTCCTCCACCATGGCCTCTGTCCCACTCCTCCTCATGGGTTTCAGATTTCTGCGCCGCCGATACCAGTGATCCGCGCCGGTCCCAACCCAGCCCGAGGCAAGTGTAGAACGTGATGAAGGCCCTCAGGGCATGAGACATCTTATCTCCCTCGCGGTCTTTTCTGGGTGGGCTGTGTGCGTGTGTGTGTGGTTCGGTTTCGGTCTTCCTCCGGTCCTCTCCCTCTCCCTGGTTTGGTCTTCCTCCGGTCCTCTCTCTGGTCTGGCCTCCCTCCGGTCCTCTCCCTGGGTTTGGTGGTGGTTGGTATGCGCTTGATGCTGCTCGCGCGCGCGCTGAGGCAAACTTGTGTCAGCTTGTGTCGCTTGCAGTCGTGGCGTGCAGCCTCGCACACTTTAAGTTTTGTCCCTGGGCCGGCAAGCAGAATAATACATAGACAGCACGTGTGTGATTCCAGTGGTGCTCTCTGGGTTCGTGGGGGCCGGAGTCGCACAAATGACACAACTCTGAAGCCTGTATTTTCAATACTTCTGGGGAGCTACATGCTGTAACATAGTTATGTGAGTAATCTATGTCTCTGATTGTAGCTGTGGTGGCTCAGCCTGGTTTAGGCCACAGGCGCTCAAACCGTCGAGTACGGTGCATACTGCAGTAGGTCAGGTCGGGCCTCACCGAACGGGGATGTTGCGACAGTGAAAACAGTCTCTTGGTCGATCCTTGGTTCTGGGTCTCACTTACTCGGATATCTCTCTCATCACTTTACGTGTGTGTGTGTGTGAGTGTGTGTGTGTGTGTGTGTGTGTGTGTGTCTGTGTGTCTGTCTGTCTGTCTGTCTGTCTGTCTGTCTGTCTGTCTGTCTGTCTGTCTGTCTGTCTGTCTGTCTGTCTGTCTGTCTGTGCGTGCGTGCGTGCGTGCGTGCGTGCGTGCGTGCGTGCGTGCGTGCGTGCGTGCGTGCGTGCGTGCGTGCGTGCGTGCGTGCGTGCGTGCGTGTGCGTGTGTGCGTGTGCGTGTGCGTGTGCGTGTGCGTGTGCGTGCGCGTGTGCGTGTGCGTGTGCGTGTGCGTGTGCGTGCGCGTCTGCGTGTGCGTGTGCGTGTGTGCGTGTGCGTGTGTGTGTGTGTGTGTGTGTGTGTGTGTGTGTGTGTGTGTGTGTGTGTGTGTATAGCTGTAAATACTGCGGGGACCCATGCCAAGAAACACCCTGCTGGCCTCCAGGGTGCCCTTCGTTTCTTGGGTTTCGATGGCTCTGCGATGGAAAGCGTGACGTTCCCATCCCGAAGTCAGTGGACGTCCTGGGGTCCCAGGGTTGGGTTTCTCGTGGAAGGTTTCTTGTGGACGGGTCTCCACTGTAGCTGCTCCGCAGCTCCCGCCCCATCGGTGGGGCGGTTTCGACCGTCGGGCGAGAGTGCCGAGCGGCTGTTGCCGCCCACAGGTCAAGAGCCCCAGACAAAACGTGGCACGGTGCTGAAGCAGACCTGCGGGGAGAGAAGGGCGTAGCATGCCAGATATTTCCACGCTGCTGCAGGCGACAGAGCATGCATCTCCTCCCTCCCTCACTGCCATGTGATTGGGCACGGGCCTGACCCAAAGTTCCGTTACGGGTGCTGGGGTACCGCAAATGGGCACGGGCACGCAACCGTAGGCAGTGCGCGGTCCTACGGCGACCCGCATTCTTTGGTTCGACTGATCCGCCGCGCGACCAGCGTGGCCACGCCAGCAGGCGCAGGAATGGTAGTGGGCGTTCTCTCGGACCTTGCAGACCAGGACCTTGCAGAGCAGGACCTTGAGCATCACATATGGAGAGAACGACACATTGAGAATGTTTCGACCAGCGGCTGGAGTTTTCTCGGGCGTGCCAATGTTATGGTTTGTCCTAGTCTCCGTTGTCGGGGCGAGTGCTTCTCCTCGGTCCTCGTCGGGAGGGAACAGGAGTCTCAATGCCACGCCGTCGTTGGAAGCCCGTCAGCGTGTCGCTCCTTCGCTCTTGCTGAGTGACCTGGCGTTTCTTCGGCAGTGACGCGCCGATGGCTTCCCCGCGGCGGCGTGTGCTTGATTCCCCAATCAGTGCCTGCACTGAAGGGGTCCTAGAGCGGAAGCTGAAAGATTTGGCGAATGTTTCCCGCCGATTTTGGTAGCTGGCTCTGTTCCCGGGTTCCCGGTTCCGGGTTCCCGGGTTCCTGGTTGTTGGTTCCGGCTCGATTTCGGTGGGATTTGGGTTCCCGGGTTCCCGGTCGATCTCCTTTTCGATTGCTTTATCGATCCCGTTTCAAACCATCCATGGATTAGGGATTTTCTCTGGTGTAATATTGCTGAACGGGAAAATGACCACAGCCACTGCTTCTTGTTTGCGCCGCCTTCCAGCCGGCCGAAACAGAAGCAGTGGTTGTGGTCATTTCCCTGGTGCCAAGCTTAACAAACATGACCACAACCACTGCTTTGCTTCTGCTGGCTGGAAGGCGGCAGCAAAAGAAAAGCAGTGGCTGTGGTCGCTTTCACGTCCCGTAAATATGATTCCCGAGCAGTGCTTTTACTTGGGGAGTCTCGCTTCCCTTCTGGGGGGCTGGGTCCGTCTGCCGCCCCGGCGGCCCCGTGCCCGTCCGTCGCCGCACCACTCGGAGGCGGCCAAGAGGGGGGTGGTGACCAGGTGGGGGTGGATATCGTGGCGTGGACGATGATGTTTCCTCAGATTTCATGGCGCCTCTTCTTATTTCATTACGTCCCTGCCCCCCCCCCCCCCCCCCTGGGCCGCGCACATGCCGCCGGCCATGATTTGCAGCCCCCCCCTCTTGGACGTCCCCCTCTTGGCCGCCCCCGACACTCTTCCCAACAGAAGGGCCAGTCGCCGCCCTGGCGGCCACGCTCCCGCCCGTCGCTGCCGCCCCATTGCCACCCCTGTGTATTGCGAGCGCATTGCAGCGTACTCGGCTTGCGCTGCGTTGCCTTGTTTTGCCTTGTGCTTCGCGCTGCTCTGCACTGCTTTTTGCACTGCACTGCTTTGCGCTGCTCTGCATCGCCTGACACTGTGTTCTGTTGCTTCACGTTGCGTTGCGTTACTTTGCAGTTCTCGGAATTGTTTTTCGCTGCTTTGCTTTGATCTGCACTGATTTGCAGTGCGTTGCAATACTATGCGTTGCTTTGCATGGCTTTCTATTGATTTGCATTGCTCTGCAATGCTTACTATGCTTCCTTACCATCCTGTGGAGTTGGACCATCGTTTTGAAGAGACGGCGCCCAGCGTCTCACCTCCTCCTCCTCCTCCTTCTCCCTCCTCCCATCCTTGCTTTTGCCCTCCGCATGCCAACCATTTCGGCACCAGTTCGGCACACCCCTCACACACATTTCGTGGGCCCATAGGGATCTCCATCGACGGCCACAAAGGCACAGTCAATCTGCGCACCCCGCTCCATTTCGGCACACCTCTCACACGTTTCGTGGCCCTATATGGGAGTTCCACCGAAGGCCCCACTAGCACAGTCCGCATGCGCCACCGCGCTATATTTTTGCGCACCCTTCACATGCTTTGTGCCCCCTATGGGGAGCTCCGATGAAGGCCTCAGTGGCACAGTCCACACGCGTCCCCCCGCCTCATTTCGGCACACACCGCACACGTCACGAGGCCCCATATGGGAGACCACCGAAGGCACCAGTGGCACAGTCCACATGCGTCCCCTCTCGCCAAAGTTCGGCACACCCCTTACACGTTTCATGCCCCCATAGGCAGCTCGCCATTCACGCGCTTGGTGCCTCATAAGGAGCTCCATAGAAGGACCCAGTGGCACAGTCCACATGCGCCCATCCTCCGCCCTGGCCCCATTTCGGCACACCCCTCACACGACGCATGGCCCCATAGGGAGATCCACCGAAGACCCCAGTGGCACAGTCCAAATGCGCCCGCCAAACTCATTTCGGCACCTCCTCAGACTTTTCGTGTCCTCATAGGCAGCTCCACCGAAGGTCCCAGCGGCGCAGCCCTCATGCGTCCGCCCCACCCATTTCGGCACACGCCTCAGGCGTTTCGGCGCCCCACAGGGAGCTCCATTGAAGGTCCCAGTTGCGCAGCCCGCATGCGCCCGCCCCATTGATTTCGGCACGCCGCTCGCACGTTTCGTGACCCCTTAGGGAGCTGCACCCAGGGTCCACATGCGTCCGCCCGATTCATTTCGACACCCCTCATACGTTTCGCATTCCCATAGGAAGCTCCACCAAAGGTCCCAGCGGCGCAGCCCGCATGCATCTCCCCCACCAGTTTCGGCACATTCCTCACACGCTTCATGTCCCCACAGGGAGCTCCACCGAAGCTTCCAATGGCGCAGCCCGCATGCGCCCACCCCACCCATGTCGGGACACCCTTCACGCGTTTCGTGTCTCCACAGGCAGCTCCACCGAAGGTCCCAGCGGCGCCCGTCCGCAGGCGTCCGCCAAACTCGTGTCGGCACACCCCTCACGCGTTTCGTGACCCCACAGGGGGCTCCGCCGAAGGTCCCAGCGGCGCCCGTCCGCAGGCCTCCGCCCCAACTCTTTCGGCACGGCCCCTCACGCGCTTCGCGGCTCCACAGGGAACTCCTCCGAAGGCCCCAGTGGCGCAGCCCGCATGCCTGCATGTCTGGGCCCGCGCCCTTCTCGCAAGGGCGTTTTTGCTAAACGGCCACGGGCGTTTATTTAACAGGCTTGCCCTGTTCGATTCCTTCCGTGGGTGCGTTTACTGAACGGCTTCGATTGTCGGGGTGATTATTATGGGGGTGGATTTTCTGCCCTGTATCCCGAGGGGAACGAAGAAGATGACATAAACATCAGAACTCGGAGGTCCGCGCAGAGTTCTCGGATCGGCGCTGGACCCTCCTCCCTGGCGCGCGGAGCGCGCCAGGGGCGGCGCCGAAGGCGCCGCTAAGGGGCCCCAGCGCGGATCCGAGACATCCGCGCGGACCTCCAAGTTTTTATGTTTATGTCATTCTTCGTTCCCCTATTATTATGGCGGGAATTTTCTGCCCTCTATCCTCCTCCGATCCCCCCTCGCTGCCCCCCCCGCGCCGGGGGCAGGCCCGGAGCCCGCGGCCGCCGCGGGAGGCAGGCGCGCAAGCGCTGGCGCCGGCGCGACGGGGCTCGCCCGCTCTGGGCCGAAGGCCAGGGAGGGAGCGGCGACACGCCCTCCTGCTCCTCCTCCTCCTCCTCCTCCACCTCCTCCTCTCTCCTCCTCCTCCTCCTCCTCCTCCTCCTCCTCCGTAGCCATTTTGGCTCAAGATGCTTTGTTCCACAGGGGAACACGTGGATACCGCTAGTCCGCGGCCAGTCTTCAGTCTTTCCCCTGGTCAGCCCCAGGGCGAGCGTCGAGGTGGTCCGCCCCGCCTTGGCGCGTCTCCCGCGGCATGGGATACGGCATTGGGAAAGCAGCGGGGTATATTGGATGCAAAGCGTGTGGATATAAGTGGAACTGGAGCAGTAAGACCGAGTGCTTCAAGTGCAAGGCAAAGTTCCTCCCCACCATCGGCGCCCCACCACCACCGTCAGGATTATGGGCACAGAATGGCAAGCATTCTGCGGGCTGGTCAAACTCGGGACGGCCATGGAAGAAGTGGGCACCGTGGAGACGTTCCACCCACAACGGCGACACGGCAGGCTGGGACAACACGGAGGAGCAGATGTGCGACGTCGGGCAGCCCGACCCGCTCACCACGGTCTCCCTCGTCGCGAGCTTGGCAGCATACCAGGGCGTCGGCGACCAGTCCGACCCCACCATCACGGCCGCCTTGGACACTCTGCGTCGCAAGGCCCA